AAATATTCATTAACAGGTTTCGAAGAATGCGGAATTAAGTAGACGTTGTCGACGTCGATTTGATTATCTGTTCCGCCATTCTTTATCTTTGTTAAAACGTAATTATTAATTTCATCCGACGATACCAATGGACCATTTACATCAAGAACGGCACTAATGAGAAGAAATTATTATTTCTATGAAGGTTTTGTAAGAAAAAAAAGATACATACCTATCGTTCATAGGGTCACTATCTGATGTGCCGGATTCCATTGGATTTAATAAAGGATCTGGATCATAGCCAGCTCTTTCAGATAGCTCCTGCTCCTAGTCACCAATTTTTTTGTTCCATTGTTAATATGATGGATTCTGGTATGTCGTCTTCTGGCAATTGCAGGATATTGTCTTCATTTATGTCGACGTCCTTATAAAGTCTATTGCATTTTTTTAACCAATAAAGAGCTTCGGCGATTTTTTTCTTTCGGACTGTAAGAACTCTTTTAAGTTGAATGCGTTGAGGAGAACGTGCACCAATAAATATTACTTTAAGCGTGTGACATAAATCGTCCATTGTCAGTGGTAAACTGCTAACAATATTTGACATATTTTGGAGAAAAGTAATGCAATTGCCTTTCAACGCCCCCTGTGCAGTTGTTGCTGTATGAAAAAGTGAGTGCAGTTTTATCACACAACTGTTATGACGATGCAATGAGATCAACTTTTGTTCTGGAATTGTTAATCCTTGTAACTGGGTAGGTATATCACTCAACCACATATTGTTCGCTGCTGTGAATTTTGAATGGGAGATCCTAAAAAAATCATAAAAAAATTTACGTATGTCATCAGAAGTCATAAGCGTTTTTTCTCTTTTCAAAGGTATTCAAAGTGTTGTATTTGTTAGCGTCATTGGATATTACTTCATGACGCTACCTTCTACATAGTTGTTTTCTTGCATTTCTGTACATATACATAGATATGTACTTCTTTTCTCTTTCTTTCCTGACGCTTTAGTTTTCGTTTGATTATCATGTCCGTTCTCATGATGATCTCTGTGATTGCATTTGTTCTTTGTTTTCTTCTTTGTCTACTTTTTTTCCTCAGATCATCTCCGATCTGTATATATGTTGTTGTTTTTCTCTTTTCAATCAGTCTTTTGTTATTGTTTTCTTTAGTGTTTTATTTGATTTCATCCACATACATTCTCTTCATCTCTCATCACTTCCAGTCACCTCAGATAGGTTCAGCGACGTGAGTTTTGATCTGACATCAGACCATTCGTTCTATTAGTTGATTCAGCTTACGATCTAATCGGTAGCTGGAGGTTTCATCACATCCCCTGATACATGAGACTCACAACTGCTGATGTTGGTTCAGAAGATACGTTAAATTAAGTTTATCGAGCATTAGAATCTTACAATGTAACTGCTGCAGGTGGTCGAACAATTGGTATTAGTGTAGATGGGTTAGTACTTGGTGGCGGTTATGAGTTTAAATATAATCAATAGGATCATACTATCGATAATATATTTGAATATGTAGTAGAAATCATATTTATTTCTATAAAGATCTATGTATATTTTCTTTTTGCGTAGCTTGTAATATATACCAAATGAAACAATTGTCTACATAAATAATGAATACTATCCAGATATCTTTTTTGACCGTAAAGGTGGTTTAAATAATTTAGATATTGTAATGAATTTCGATATACACGCAATACCACAAGTGAAAATATATGTTGATGTACTTTTATATAATATTTCACAATTTGCTAACATATTAAGAGTGATTGTTTGTTTTCAAAATACCAATACATATCCGAAAGCACATATTGAAAGTGATTTTGCAAGGATGATCAATATGAAAACTGTTTATATTTCAGTTTTCAATGATTATCTAACATGTTCAGAAAATATTTATAAAGAGCCCGTAGAAATTCCACATGAAAATAGATTCGAAATTTTCGTGCCTATGTTTTCAGTGTTGAAGCATCAGCTGTTTTTGTTACAGGTTCTTCAAATATGCGGTATAGTTTATGATTTCTTATTTTAGTGTCAGTCTTTATATAGTATTAATTACGAACATAACAAGTCGATTTCTACAAGGAATAAAAGAACAATTTGTCTTATGTTGACATATTACATCTGACATTCGTTACCTTTATAAATTTTTCCATTGAACTATTTTTATCTTCATATTTTGATAGATTACGAGATGAAGCATATCACCATGTTGCATGATCTAATCTACTTTTTCCAACTCGTATTCAGTTTGGTTTCCAATTACCTTTACATGATGAATTGTGTGTCAATGAAATAGAAAACAGCAGTGAACGATGGACAAGATATTAGTGGAACAAAACAAATTCCTTATCCTAATATTGCTCTCAATAAGATTTCCCGATCAGAAATCCATGGTAATAATACAGATCGATTAAAACGTATTCGTCAAGCATGGGATCTAGAAAATATCATGTACTTAACTAATGGATTTAAATTTTAATTCAACATAACATTGTAACAGATGTATGTCATAATAAATAAATCTCTCAATATTTTACACCATTCTACTTTGTTTTCTAGTATAGAAAAATCTATTTTTACTAAAAGGATTCCTTGTCAAATTCTCTACAAAACTGTCTACGTTGTTTCCCCATTTCCATCTACAGTTAATTTTTACAACAGGAATACTGAAAACCTCCACAAAGTCATCTTTTTATTTAATTGTCTACCAAAAATCAACCTTGATCCAATAAAGTATATCATTTTGTAGGAAATTTTATTGCGAATTTGCAAAATCGTTCTCAACTAGTCGGGATGAAAAACTTAGAAGGTATGGATCTGATACTGATGTATCTATTAGAAAGATTTACCTGTTGAAAGTGGTTACCTTTCATACTTTAAAAATTCATTGTAGATAGTAACTGAAAAACAAACTCCATATATTTGTCGAGAATTTAACAGATAACCTTTTAGTAGAAAAAATTTTTTATATGCTAGAAAACAAGGTAAAAATATATGAAATACCGACCAATTCAGTCATTATGGCACATCCGCAAGACTAACACAAAGAGAGTAGAGTTAGGAACTCATTCGGACAAACTGAGAGATAAGAATAATTGTTACCCACATGCCGCATAATTAAAAGATAACCAGAGAAACCGAAAGCGTCAATCTGTGAAAATGTTTGAAGTCAGTTTATCGAGATTTTTTCTTTATTCACTATAATGCTTCTTTCGGAAGTCTGTACGGCTTACAAATTTCGATGCAAATGAGCGTGAAAGTCTAGGAAGAATAGGAAATTGACACAGTCGCATTTATACTCGGCAGTAGAGCTTAGGCCTTAGAAGCAAACAGCAAGGGCCTAAAAAATTTATTTCAATCGCACGATAATTTATAGAAATGGAACTTAGTAGAAGACGCGCTCTTATAGAGATCTCTTAAAAGTTAATTGAGGGTATTTTAGAACTTCCATTTCAGCTCTCACCAGATGGTCTGAGCAGCTTCTAGAATATATCTCTACTCTTATATTCAACAGCATATGTAAAGATATTAGTTCACCATGTTGTGAAAGATAAATATACGGGAAATGTAGCCTTTTTACATTGTGAAACTGAAGAGATTCTGGTCATTTACAGTAAAACACCAAACCGATGGCATGCTTGCACATTTTCTCGCTGTTTTCTATAGCTGTATCTTATAGTGATTCGCGAAAAATAAAAACTTGAACTATTTAGAAGTATTTCGCATAGCTTCAGTCTATCCAAGTAAATTACGTCATAAACGTAATTTTCTAAGTGATTCCGTACTATATTTTTCGAAAATAAAAGGTGTGGTATATTTCTCTGTAGTGCTCCTATATATGCATATGAAAATCTAATGCAAAACTTTTGCTTTCTCGCTCCTTTACATGTCCTGATCATGAACAAAGGATAAACTATCACAAATATTTTTTCGTTGACGAAACAAACTGTCAAAGTTATATAAATCTCATGAAAATAGTTATAGTCGTAGAAATACATAATCTCATTGACTAAAATACAGGTAACGAGCAGAATATTATTATTTTCCTTTTCCTGTCTTTCATTGTCTCAACATTTAGTTCAGCACGAAAAGAAAAAGAATTAATAGAAGTTGGATTTTTGGACTTTTTAGGAAAACACTGAGTTTTTTCGGCGTTCCATTGTCTTGTATTGTAGCACAAGAGATTCTATTTTTGAATGAGGAATTCAGTTTTTATTCTTTAATTATCTGTATATTTTTTATAGAACTGAAAAAGAAAATATTCTTACTGACATATTTTAAGCTTTCGACTGAAAATTGTGTCAATATGTCATTGGTTTCAACACCAACAATGATTATCGGGTATGTATTATCCTTTTTTTGTATTTATATTTTCTACCCATGCTCCCATTTGAAGAGTGAGAACTGGATCAATCCAGCGTCAACGAAGAATCGTAGTAGCCATTGCTTTCATCTGTGTGATAGGTATTGTTATCACACTAAGTGTCGTTCTCAGTCGTCGTTCTTCAATAAAATATTTGGCAAATTCAACATTGACAAATGGTAAGCATTTGACACAGTTTACTTCCACGGAAACCATTGTTTTTGGAAGCATGAGTTTGCTTTTTGGCATCTGTCGATCTTGCCGAGCTTTCCTTTATTAAATGCTTAGTAAAAAAGCTTAGAGATGTACCGCTCACGCTCGCGCTCACCATGAACGTATGGTCGCTCACGCTCATGAGCGCTCATATGAGCGTGAGCGTTTTCTTTTTAAGATATTTTGAAAATGATCCCATTCTGTACTTTATCAATTGAGTATATCTATTCACGTTCTTACAAGCGTGATTTTGGACCTTAGACCACTAATGTAGACTTCGTTCGATATTTTAATATATGTTTTTGTCTCGCTCATAAGAGCGCTCATGAGCGTGAGCTGTACACCCCTAAAAAAGCTCCTTTGGTATGTTAATATTCATCTGGAGATGTCTTTATATGAATATTGTCTCTAATTTAATGAAGTTTTTTTCATTTCTCTTGGTAAATGTATTTTCTCAGTAGTTTTGAAATGCTTAACTTTATAATAAGATTAGAATGATTAGATAGAGCGTATACATAAAACTTGACACGAACAGATGTAAGATAAAGACGGCGATTAGAAGAGGAAGAACAACGTTTTGAGTGAATAGCGATATATCATATAAATGGAAGTGTGAAGTTTGATGTGTTTTTTTATTCCCTCGACTGAAAGGAGGGTCATATGAAAAAAATGTTTTTTTGTCTGTTTGTCTGTTTGTTTGTGTCAGGGTCAAAGGTCAAAAAAACATTTTTTTTGAAAATGTTCAAAACTTCATAAAACATGGTTTGGGGTGTTGTTGAGGCCTGATATCGACGAGAGGGTAAGGTGGGGGTCTTGGGAGCAAAGGTCAAAGGTCAAAAAAACATTTTTTTGAAAATGCTCAAAACTTCATAAAACATCGTTTGGAAGGTGTGTTGAGGTTAGATCTTGGTTAAGGGGAGGGGGTGAGGGTCGGGGTCAAGGGTCAAAGGTCAAAAAAACATTTTCGTGAAAAAGGCTCAAAACTTCGTAAAACATGATTTTGGAGGAATGCTGAGGCTCGAGGTTGGCTGGNATGAAGATCCACCAAACATCACTGGCGATGCATATGGAATCGATGGAGATGATTGTCCTTTCACTGGCGTTGACCAAACAGTAGAAGGATTAGAATGATCTGCGTTTCGTTCAGCATTTGTAAACTCCATCGCGCGTAAAGCTGTATAAATACTATCTGTTGCTAGTTGTGGTGAATGATCGGATGCTGATGGAGCTAGAAGAAAGCAAGAAAGAATGATTGTTATGGCACGTGATATGACGTACCATAAGATGACTCATGATATAGGTTCTTTTCCATATGTTCGTTCTCTTCCTTCTCTTATATACATATGATTACTATAGATATCACTCATTCTCGATCCTAATAGGGATTTTCCAAAGAGCTTCATCTAGGTTTCTTTCCTTGTAATAGTATCTTTGGAATTTTACACGATTAGATGAAATCTATTTATTATATTCCAACTAGATGCGTGGCATACTATATAAATAGCTCTCGTCTTTTATGGAAGGTCTTCTTGTTTTACTATTTTAAAATAATCTAGTTCTATCACACTATACGGACCTAACAATTTGTTTTTCTTTTTTCACTATAATGCTTCTTTACGAAGTCTGTACGGCTTACAGATTTCGATGCAAATAAGCGTGAAGGTCTAGGAAGAATAGGAAACCGACACAGTCGCATTTATACTCGGCAGTGGAGCTCAGGCCTTAGAAGCAAACAGCAAAGGCCTGAAAAATTTATTCCAATCGCACGATAATTTATAGAAATGGAACTTAGTCGAGGACACGCTCTTATAGAGATCTCTTGAAAGTTAATTGAGAGTATTTTAGAACTTCCATTTCAGCTCTCACTAGATGGTCTGAAAAGCTTCTAGAATATATTTCTACTCTTATATTCAAGGGCATATGTATGTAAAGATATTAGTTCACCATATTGTAAAAGACAAATATACAGCAAATGTAGCCTTTTTACATTGTGAAACTGAAGAGACCCTAGTCATTTACAGTAAAACATCAAACCGATGGCATGCTTGCACGTTTTCTCGCTGTTTTCTATAGCTGTATCGTATAGTGATTCCCAAAATAAAAAGTTGAACTATTTAGAAGTATTTCGCATAGATTAAGTCTATCCAAGTAAATTTCTTCATAAACGTAACTTTCTAAATGATCCCGTACTATATTTTTCGAAAATAAAAGGTTTAGTATATTTCTCTGTAATGCTCCTATGTATGCATGTGAAAAATTAATGGGAAACTTTTTCTTTCTCGCTCCTTTACATGTCCCGATCATGAACAACGGATAAACTGTCACAAATATTTTTTCGTTAACGAAACAAACTGTGAAACTTATATAAATCTCACGAAAATAGTTATAGTCGTAGAAATACATAATTTCATCGACTAAAATACAGGTAACGAGCAGAATATTATTATTTTTGTTTTTCCTGTCTCTCATTGTCTCAACACTTAGTTCAGCATGAGACAAAACTTAACGTTTCTAGATATCGCGATATATTCGATAATAATCTGAAGTCTATTAATAGAAATTGGATTTTTGGACTTTTTAGGAAAACACTGAGTTTTTTCGACGTTCCATTGTCTTGTATTGTAGCAGAAGAGATTCTCTTTTTGAAAGAGGAATTCAGTTTTTATTCTTTAATTATCTGTATATTTTTTATAGAACTGAAGAAGAAAATATTTGTGCTGACATATTTTAAGCTTTCGACTCAAAACTGTGTCAATATGTCATTGGTTTCAACACCGACAACGATTATCGGGTATGTATTGTCCTTTTTTTGTATTTATATTTTTTACCGATTTTGTCATTTGAAGAGTGAGAACAGGATCAATCGAGCGTCAACGAAGAATCGCAGTAGCCATTGTTTTCATCTGTGTGATAGGTATTGTTATTACACTAAGTGTCATTCTCAGTCGTCGTTCTTCAATAAAATATTTGGCAAATTCAACATCGACAAATGGTATGCATTTGATACAGTTTACTTCTACGGAAACCATTGTTTTTGGAAGCATGAGTTTGTTTTTTGACATCTGTCGACCTTACCGAGCTTTCCTTTATTAAATGCTTAGAAAAAAGCTTCTTTGGTATGTTAATATTCATCTAGAGACGTCTTTATATGAATATTGTCTCTAATTCAATGAAGTTTTTTTTTCATTTCTCTTGGTAAATGTATTATCGCAATAGTTTTGAAATGTTTAACTTTATAGTAGGATTAAAATGATTAGATAGAGCGTATACATAAAACTTGACACGAACAGATGTAAGATAAAGACGCTGATTAGAAAAGGAAGAACAACGTTTTGAGTGAATAACGATATATCATATAAATGGAAGTGTGAAGTTTGATGTGTTTTTTATCTTTACCTTGATGGTATATTTTAACGATTAATACCTAATTATTTTCACCGAATATAAGGAAACATTTCACTTGAACCTATGGTCTCGTCACACTTTTAATAGTAGTGAATTAGTTATTTCTCAAAAATTATTCTACAATATACAAGATCCTAAATGTAATCTTTGCGTTTATTCTTTTTCCATGATAAAAGAGTCGAACGCAATATCAATAACAACATCAACATCATTAACAGCGTCACACACAACAACAAGCACTGCATCAACATCGTCAACAGCTTCAAGCACAACATCAACGTCTACAGCAACGTCAACGACATCAACATCGACAACAGCTTCAAGCACAACATCAACGTCTACAACAACGTCAACGACATCAACATCGACAACAACATCAGCAACGTCGACAACATCAACATCCACAACAACAACAACAACAACAACAACAACAACAGCAACATCGACAACAACAACAACAACAACAACAGCAACATCGGCAACAACAGCAACAGCAACGTCGACAACATCAACATCCACAACAACATCAATAGATAGTGGTATGTAACGCGCTAACCAATATTTTTCTCTACACTTGAAAACACCTTATGGCATTGGTGCGAAAAGATCTTCTCGAGAAAAACAGTGTTCGTTTCGTGTTACTAACCTGAAAGTCTACATCCGAAGTTTGGAAAGTGATACGAAAAGAGTTTAAATTTCGTAGACAAATCATGATAAGTTTGAAAAGCTTCTTGTCTGCGCTTTAGCTTCTTAATCCTTGCGCGATATTTGTGGGTCCGATGAGACCTACAACATTGTTTTTTCATATTTTCTACACAAAGATCTATCATATTCTGGTCCACCTGTCCGCTAATCGTTAGTCCTCTGACGGTATACAAGTACCATATTACATTTCACATATAGATCGTACCACTGAAAAAGTGAAGGGCAGGTCCATAGGGACCTCCGAGCAACTTTTGTTATATAGATGATTTTCATCTATATTGTACCTGCCATATATTATGTGGAGAGTTTATTTATCATAGATGCGTTAGTACAACATTGCCAATTGTGAATTGTTTATTTTTTTTTCAATCATTTTCTGACGATCTTGTTATCTATATATTGAAATATGTCTAATACCGTCTCTAGTTATATGTATGCAAAATTATTCATATTCATACATTACTACCAGACTAACTATTCGGGTTTCGATAAAAATATATCTTAAGGCTTACTATATCATATCTACTACAGAGAACACTAAAAATAAAGCTTTTCTAACTTACTTACACGTCGGTCCTTCCGGACCCACACAACATCTTTTGTGTAAACAAATGAGGACACCTTACGAGAGTTAACGACGTTTCTCAAAAATGTCATCTGAAATGATTTATTCCTTTCTAATTAAAACTCTTTATAATTTCAAAAATCATAGTTCCTTCGAATGAAAAGAGTATGATACCAAACAAAATTGTGATGCGTTTGTATGTATGCTTGTCGCGCGTCAAAATTTAACCACATACTTTTCTAAAAGTCGTCATATATTACTACGTATCTAAGTTCTATACCATGGATGAAGAGGATGTTGATGCGTTTTGGGTTAAAAGACATCAAACTAAACATTGATCAATTGCCTTTTGAAGATGTAAAGCCTCTGACAGCAATTTGAGACTAAATAATCGATGCCACAGAGAGGATAGTCATAGAGTTCACAAATCAAATATCGAAATCATAAAAACTGTTCAGTAGGGTATCGAGAGCAATAAAACGGAACAGATACGTAGAAAACTAGAGAGATTTCGGAGCGGTTAGTCCTGTTCGACGTGCTGATGGACATCATCGACTGACTTGCTTTTTTGGTAGCACTTCTCTTGAAGAAAATTGTAAGACGCATCAGATCTAGATCTAAATTCAGAATTACTTTGTGTTTGTTTAGTAGTCATTCTCTTGTTTTTCTATCATAAAACTTACATGTTATCCCTCATTTAATTATGCGTAATACTGACCTATTAGGTCGAATTACATAAAACAACAAAACATGTTGCATAGATCACTATCGCAATGTCACGTGAGCAATGAGATTTTAAGGATGCATATTCGCTAAACTTCATTTTTGGGTCTAGGAATTTACGTCACAGAAATGGTAGTCATCGACATGAGCGATCAGATTTCGACTTAAGAAAAGTGTACAATGACGTATTAATTTGATAAAAATTGATCAATCAGGTATTGTGATTCATAGAGTCTGTTAGTGAGGAGGGTGTGAGGATGAGGCTGAGGGAAGCGGTTTTTAATTAGTTAGAATTCTCTTGTGACGGTGGTTTCCATTTCAGAGCATTCGGTAAAGTAGTGAGTATGATCGAGCATATGGTCGAAAATATATTTCTGGACATATCTGTCTGTCTTTTTCACGGGGAACATGCTTTAACGTCATTTAATTTTCAATGAAGAATTCCGTCGAGGATCAGGCAAGTCATCCTGGACGAGTGTTATTTACTATATATGAAAACTTCCAAAAGGATGAGTATACATGATTCATTTCGACAAAGTCATATATATTGAATTAAAATTCTGAATGACACTAATCTATGAGCTCAAAGAAAACAGATAACTATATTCCGATGTGCACTTTTATTCAGCAATACTTCTCCTGTTGATCCAAATATTTTCTTCGCGAGATATTGAATTGAGAAAAATGCTTTTATATTCCGTAAATAGTTCAAGAAGACTATAGTTATTTTCGTTATCAGAAGTTTTGAAAAAAACAATGTTCCTTGACCGTGAGACTTTGTAGATATTCTACATACAAGGGAACCACCCGAGTTGATTAACGCGCTTAGGTTCTATCTTGTGGTGATGGATAGCCCTCAGTAAGGTATGAAAAACATCAAGAGGATTCGTTCCCGATGGATCTTTTATCCAAAGTCATAGATCTTTTACTGGAAATTTTATCTATAACTATGTATCTAATAACCAACCGAATATCAATATTTGTAGCTGCAACTCTGGCTACAGGCAAGTCTATAGATTCGATGTGTTATAGCGTTTTCCGGGAAATCCAACTTTGCAACATGTATCAAAAAGATACGGTGGTCTATCGTTTTCATTGTCCGTATAGTCTGTATAGTCCGTATAAGGTAATTTCCAGCTGGGAAATTGGGAAATTACCTTATACGGACTATACGAAAACTTACAAAGCTCATTAGGTAGGCCAGATTCATTATGTTCCTTTGAATGGTCATGGCTATAACAATAAAAATGAGTAAAAGATATTGTTTAAGAAAAAGAACAACTGAGATGAAACCTTCATCACCCTTCGCCGCACCCTCATTGGAAGTTTTGTGTATTGTGTTTAGAATACCCGCTTGGATCATGAAGAGTTGTTTTAGAATATGATTTCTGGATTCCCCGGAAATTTGTCTTAGATTGAAATCGATGCAATTTCTAGACAAACGCTATAACGCATCATATGAGTCTATAGATAGTTGCAATACCATAAAAACTTCAGCTCTAAAGAACGTTTTTTTCCGAAAATATCAAAGATTAAAATAACGAACAATTCTGGCACCTTTCCTAAGATAAAGGTGGTTTTTCTTGAGGTTTTAATATCTTGAGAAGGAATCGTTCTTTGGAGATGAGATTTTCATGGTATTGCACCTATCTATAGACCTGCGTGTAGCCAAAGTTGCAGCTACAAATATTGATATTGGGTTGGTTGGTAGATACATAGTTATAGGTAAAATTTCCAGTAAAAGGTCTATGACTTTGGATAAAAGATCCACCGGGAACGAATCCTCTTGACGTTTTTCATACCTTAATGAGGGCTATCCATCACCACAAGATAGAACCTAAACGCGTTAATCAACTCGGGTGGTTCCCTCGTTAGTTCAGGTTTCAAAGATAGACAGTCAATGCACAATTTGACTCCTTCTATCTTTCACAGCTGAACACCCTCATAGTATATCTGAGCATTTATATGTCTTTAAGTGAGATGTTGATCCAATGTCTAAACGAATGGCTCTGTTCTCAATACTAGTTAGTTTTTAAATAAAAACAAAGCTATCGTATTAATATTTTAACCTAGGCAGACATCTAACGCGTTTCACCGTTCATTTTTCCAGACATTCTCGCATGCAATAAACTCTAAGACATATGCAATTATATTTCAAAAATCAAACAATTCAGATGGTACTTTCACGTTAAAGAAACATCTGTAGATGAGAAAAATGCATATACCAAAGGTACAATAAAACTAACACTTCATAAAGTTTTGTAGTACAGCGTTAGTTTCCATCAAATGTCCACACTAATCCAAATCAGATACAGCGCTCGAAAAGACTTGTTCAAGAAGCACTGATTTAAAAGGCATGATGGATATTGAATTTTCTTCGACGTAGTCCGCTTCGTCGCTCGACAGCGAACTATTAGAAAATTTTATAATAGTGATGACTACGAAAATGCCTTTTCATTTTCGCAATACAACTCGCTAGTAACTGTTGTTTGTTTTCTCATAGTATGCGAGAATATCTATTTCAATCCACCTGCTTATCCAGCTGGATATCTACCAAACTCAATGGCAGTCATTGATTTGAATAATGACAGCAAACCAGATATAGTTACAGCAAGCTCCTTCATGCAAGCTGTTAGTGTTCTTCTCAATACGGGCAATGGTCGCTTTTCCCCGCCAATGAATTTTTCAACTATATATGCCCCACTGACACTAATAGTAGTCGATATCAATAGTGATAACAAGCCTGATCTAGTTCTAACAAGTGACGTTAAAACTATTGTTATTGTTCTTCTGAATACAGGCAATGGTGCATTTTCTTCTCCAATTATTATCAAAATTGGGTCTGGCCAAGTCTCAGTGGCAATAGTCGATGTTAATAATGATAACAAGCCTGATATAATTACGGCAAATGGGAATACAAATACTGTTAGTGTTCTTCTAAATACAGACAATGGCACATTTTCTTCTCCAATTAGTATCAATACTGGAGGTGATTCCAACTCAATGGTTGTAGTCGATGTTAATAGTGATAACAAGCGTGATATAGTTACGGCAAGTGGGAATACAGATACTGCTAGTGTTCTTCTAAATACAGACAATGGTACATTTTCTCCTCCAATTATTATCGAAATTGGGTCTCGTGCACACTCATTGACAGTAGTCGATTTCAATAATGATAACAAGTCTGATATAGTTACGGCAAATAGGTATACAAATACTGTTAGTGTTCTTCTAAATACAGACAATGGTACATTTTCTCTTCGAGTTATTATGAAAACTGGAGGTAGTCCATTTTCAGTAGCAGCTATCGATGTTAATAATGATAACAAGCCCGATCTGGTTACGGAAAATATTGATGGAAAAACTGTTAGTATTCTTCTAAATACAGACAATGGTACATTTTCTTCTCCGATTATTGTCGCAACAGACAGTATACAAGGATCATTGACAGTTGTCGATGTTAATAATGACAACAAGCCTGATATCATTACAAAGACCAGCTATCCAAATTCTGTTAGTGTTTTTCTCAACGCAGGTAATGGTACATTTTCTTCTAAAACAAGTTTCGCAGCTCACTCCCCATCTTCTTCAATCGCGGTCATCGATGTCAACAGTGATCATAAGCCTGATATAGTTGCAAAACATGTCAATAAAAATACTGTTACTGTTCTTCAAAATACAGGGAGCGGTACATTTTCCTCTCAAATAGCTGTCCAGATTGGTCGTAGATCTTACGCAGTAGCAGTTGGTGACGTCGATAATAACAATAAGCCTGATATAGTTACAGCAGACCGCGAAGAAAATACTGTTACTGTCCTCTTCGTCGCAGACGATGGTTCATTTTATTCTCAAAGGTCTTTTACAACCGAGACTAACCCAGAATCAGTAATGGTCGTTGATGTCAACAATGACAGTAAACCAGATATAATCACTGCAAATGGTGGGGAAAACAGCGTTAGTGTTCTTCTGAATATAGGCAATGGCACATTTTCCTCTCAGATAGCATTCGCAACTGGGTCTGTTCCTACCGCAGTAGCAGTCGCTGATGTAAATGGTGACGATAGACCTGATATTGTGACTGCAAGTTTTAACGGAAACAGCGTTAGCGTTCTTCTCAACACAGGCAATGGTACATTTTCTTCTCAAGTTGCTTTTGCTGTTCAAATATCGCCGATGGCAATGGTAGTTGTTGATGTAAATGGCGACAGTAAACCTGATATAGTTACGGCACATAAGGATGAAAATACTGTTTGCGTTCTTCTCGGCGCAGGTGATGGTACATTCTCTTATAGAATGTCGTTTGCAGCGAGTAATAATCCACGATCATTAGCAGTCGTTGATATCAACAATGATCGTAAGCCGGATATAGTCATGGGAAGTACTGATACAAAAAGTGTTGGTGTTCTCTTTCATTGTTGACACTGCATGCCAAGGACGTACGATTCTTTTTGTAGAAATAATTTAACCAACAAATTTGTAACAGTAAAACCTTTCGTTGGAATGTCTTGTTGGAGTTAAAGAAAGACTTCGTCGAACCCTTTTTTCACTTTAAATTCGACGTATGATACATATGGTTCATCATATAATCGTTTTGCAGTTTTTTGAACTATTGACTCTGAAGTGTGATGCAGATCAATAAAATGATCGATAAAGTACTGAGGTCTGATGCGTCTCCATACGATAAATGAGTGCAGCTTCTCGAAAGACATGCTTTTTAATTAATCTTGCAATTTAAACAAATACAGAAGAAAATATTATATCAAAGTACATCGGAATCTACGGAACTAAGGACATAATAAGGATAATCCATTAGATGAGAGAACCCGTATCATGCGTACAACGCATGTCAGAGAGATTATCACGACCGCATGAAAAGTAGAAAAACTTTCAGAATATCTTATTATTCAGCAGATATCCTAAAGTGTTGATGTTAGGTGGCTCTCTTCGAGAGTCACTTTGGTTTACTCTCCCCGTCCTTTCAATTCATAGATGCGTGTATATACAGAGAGAGAGAGAGGAACAGAGAATTCATCCGCTAACATATCCTCCTCTATTATGAAAAGACATGTGTCTGCACATCAACAGATGAAAAATCACGAGAAGAAAGTTTTTCACACGCACACACACAAAACTTCCGAAGTCAATATTGACACCTTGGATCGTTGCGGATGTTGAGATTCGCTGTGGTCGTGTGTGGTGCGTGTTTGTTGGCAATTGAGTTGGCAGTGTCGTCGTTCTTCGGTTGGATAATTTCGCTGTGTCATGTTTGTCGATTGGTTTATTGGACCGGACGAAATATATTCGTGTCGATAGTCGTCTTTGTTTGACCATGTGCATGAGTGAACGTTGTTGTTTTGTTTTCTTTTTGATTTGCCATCTATCTCATCCTCTATAATATTGAACGTCCATGAAATAGCTAATCGGGGCCTTTCTTCTTCCGTCTTCTCGTAATTCTTCGGACTTGAAGTTGATCGTCACTTCGGCGTGTTCGTCGTTGATTCGTATTTGATGACTGTAGTGGACTTGATCGGCTTGTAGCTGCGCTCGTATCTTTCGATAGTCATAACGGTAATAGATCGGCCGAACAATTTCATGCTTGAAATCCGATCGGTTTCGTTTCTTCTCCTTGAATTTCTCGTTTTCTCTTTTTTGATTTTCTTTCTCCCGTTGTTTTCGTTCTTCTTCAGTTTCTTCGGGTCGTGGCGGATCTTGTTGTGGTTCTGGTGTCTGGGGTTGTGAGTTTTCACGTATGTCGACGATATCATCGACGTACATCCTATGTTCGTCGGTCACTGGTGTTTCATATCGATTCGTGTTGAATGTGGTTGATGGATTCATGATGAAATACAGGTTGGTCACCGCAATGCAGTCTTTCACGGCGTAGTCAGTCATAATTCGACGTTTTTCTTTTTCGATTCGTTGGTCATAGTAAGGTGTCCTGAATGATTTCCTGGTTCATGTATTAAGTTGGATATCGAGTCCGCATCCCCATTTGTTTATCGTTACTGCCTTGTCTAAGACTTGCCCGCATCCTGATGTCACTGCGTCTTGTAGTGACCAAGTAGCGTTTGGATTAAAATGTGAGGCGTGATCACATTGATATTCGCTGTTGCTAAATATTGTTCCTCCTGGCGTCTCGTACATGGTACTTGACTGCTATTTTCGATCACGACTTTCCTTCGCAGGATGCGTGTTACTCGATTGATCGTTATGCCAGTCACTAAAATCACTCTGTAGGTTTATTTTTTCATTGATCTTACCCGGATTGAAAAGACCATACGATTTGAAATCGTCGAATTCGTCTTCCAACGGGTCCCATGTGATGATGTCCTTGTCACAATTGAGTATGATTTCACATAATTCCTTGTTTTTTTCTTGTGTCGTTAAGTTGTTGCAATCCGGGCGGTGGAACATTTCGATCAACATGATTGTTGATGCTTGACTTGGTTGTAAAAATTGTATCTGTACTAGAGCACCTTTGTTCACCCTATTGATCGTTTCCGATTCCGTATCGATCGTGAAAATTTTGGTATTCTTTGCCTTCTCGATCAAGTCATCTAGTGTCTTGATTGGTGGCAGGTAATGGATGTGGATGATTGTTGCTGTGGGTGGTATTGGCATTGATGGATATTGCTCACGCAGTCGTTCGTTGCGTCCAATTTCTCGTGTGTTTCTCCGCCAATTCCGCTGTTGTTTTGCGGTCAAACTGTTGTAATATTCGGGTGGATTGTTGAGGTTACGTATATGTCGAGACATCTTTCTTTGTGAAATGAACTCGAAATCGATCAAAAGTTAGATTTTCTTTCTTCTTTCGCTTTGAAGATTCCATGTTTTCGTTTTTCGTTCCTTTCCTGTCGCACTTATATAATTAGATGCGCATATTTTTATACACGTATAGATATAACTGGAATCCTTGGATGTCATCGACGTATATTTTCTTGTGTGTTCTGTGATGTGGTGAATTCCCAGATCAACAAATCCGATCCTGGATCCTATCGGATTCCTGGAAACGGAATTTCATTGGAATCCGACTGGAAAATTCCGTTGGTTATTGCAAATTTTATGAGCGATCTTTTTAGCTATGTTCTATGATGACCCTTATAAACTCTGGAAAATTCATGTTTCCGATCCGATGAGATCCGAGTACGAGATTGATCGACCTGGAATTTTCTTATGCAATGATACAAAATGAGGACAGTAAACTGTTTTCACACCTCTGTTCTTTCGAATCCTATATTTTATCACATTTTGACAATAGATCGAATGAAAAAACATCATTGAAATGTTTTACAAACAAAAAGAGATTTCTTGTAACTGTTCAAATGCAGAATTTTCTTATTGAATCTCATTCATATCAAAAGAAACTCTCAAAAAATGTTTATTTTATTCATCATCGTGATTTAAATAAGATTATAAATTACATTTCCTCGTTTATCAATGTTAATTTCACAAATACATGTTCAACAATATCGTTAATCGATCTGATCAATCGTCTCCTCATTCACCAAGTGATTCATTTTCGATCACGAGCACAAGCAGCAACTATAGTCGACAACGCTTTTGAAACTTTATCAATATCTTGGCTTTTCTCTTATACCAGACGACAAAAGACATCGTCTTCAATTTACCAATTTCTAACGCTGCAATCTCCATGTTTGAACATCCGTACCAAGGGAGAAAAGGCGAGCCTTTATTTCTGAAGTAGCGCCTTTCCCTCCTTGTGTATCTCTCAGATCATAAGATCTATCAATTTTGAATTGTCATCAAAGATGAGAAATCTAAAATGATGAGATAATTGTTCTCGACTATTTTCCTGTAACGGTTTCTGTTACATCTAAGTTCTAAATGCAGCAGAAAGGAAGAAAAAAGAACTCCCTTCGTGGGACCTGAATCGCACACCTCCTGCTATTCGGGTAAAGGTGCTAAGCCAGTTAGACTAGAATGGATATTTCTTCGTCTTATGATTCTCGATCATAACAGTTTCCATTATATCTTATGAAAAACTTTAGTTCTCCGCAGTTTTGCCACTTGTCACGAGAATCATTTTAGAACTTTATCCAATTGAACCGATATATCTTTTGAATTCACTGTCAAAACGCCGAAAAACAAATGTCATATTTGAAACAAGTCGAAGAAAGTACCGTTGGCCATATAAAATGTCAACAATTTCGAAATGTTTCAACAATAAATGTCGATCTTCTTTTCTTTCTTATTCTACGGCCTTCTTAATCGAACAAATCAAATTGTCTATTGTCCTTCATTGGAATCTACTACAGCGATATATCTAACGTATACAACGACAACTATTGTTGATATTATGAATCAGCTTGAGGGTGAATAATGGGTGCAGGCAATGCAAACTTTGAATCTATCTTTTGACGATGATTCATTTCGATATGAAAAACTTCTCTCCGCAAGTTTCTTGAGATACACATTTGGATTATTTTTGGCAGACGTGTCAGATGAGAGCATTTGAATGACGATCACAAGTGAAGCGTTGTCAAAATAAAAAAGAAGACATCGGAAGAGAAAATGTGACATTCAGATAAAAACAAATCATTTGGCTTGTTTTGCGCGTTATTCTTTGTCGCAGTTGTTTCATCATATTGCGAAATTCATCTCGATAAATATTTGCAGGTAAAATTAAAATAGGAAATGTAGTCATCAATGGAATAAATGAACACAGTACAAATCAATGTAAAAAGAAAGATCAATCGAATCATACTCAGAAAAATTAATACTATTGGAATTCCATATATAGGAAATTGTTCTTCCAAAATTTTCCAATAAGAATTTATCTCTTTTTTACTTAAACTTTGTTTTAATCTCATTGATTTATGCAAAAGAATTGTTGTAAACTTATCAAATAAAATTGGACAAATATTGAGAAAGTATTCCAAATGAAGGCGATTGACCAATATGCCATTGTTCGAGATTTCATATCATACATTTGTTTTAGTAATAAATAAACAAATCTTTCAAAAAGAATTAATGAAAAATTGTCGTAATATCTTCGATTAAAACAAAAATAAGTTGGTAACTATCGATAAAATGATGAATAGATTTGTCGATCATCGAAATATCGAACGAATGGATGAAAAGTATTGATTCAAAATGGGCAACAAATTTTAATACATGTATATTGGACAGGTGATGAAAATGCGACATGTGATGGTTTACGAGTAGCACTTCGTTATATCCTTGAAAATGGTCGTAAAGGTTATGTTGGTTTTGGTTCTGATATTGGTGGTTATCGTTTTGATCATGATTCTGGCCCATTAGGTCGTACAAAATAAGTTTTTCTTCGTTACACAGCTATTATGGTGTATTAAGTTCATTTATGGAAAATGTTGGTATGGGAGAACATTGTCCATGGAATTTCGATAATGAAACCATGTGATGATACTCAACCAATGATTTTCTAGGTCCAAATATTTATGTTGTACCTGTAATACGAGATCCATCTCCTGGACGAATTCAACGTGTATGGTTATCAAAAAGTTCAACAAATCAGTGGATAAATTATTTTAATACATGAATTACATATCAATCGGAAATATCTATTCAAGAAGATAAAAGTAGTCTTTATCGTATTCCATTATATATTGAACAAAATTCATCATTATACGCATTTCGATTTGTTTTATAGGTCAACATGATTATTAATCAGCAAACAACAATATTATCTACTCGTGATGGACAACAAATGGTTATTAAAAATAGATAATTTAAAGCAAAAACCGACTATTCAATTGATTTAACAATATGAACCAAGAAAAAAGAAGAATGAATATGGATTTTTTTTGTCAATATGTTAAAGAACAAGAGGTTTGTGTAAAAGATTGGATAAAAATTGTTTAAGTGGGAGTCCATTTATTTAATATCATTGAGGAAATTCATGAAAAAAAGCAGCGTTAGACAGATTTTTTGTTGAAAATAACAAAAAAAAACTATTAAGTGATTTGATCATTGTTTCTTATTTTTGAAGGAAATCTATTAATTGATAATGTTCAATGATGAATAATGTTGAAAAGACTTTCATTAAGAGATAAATTGTAAAAATAAGAATTGACCAAGCAATGAATAAAGTATAGGAGACACTTGGTTCATTTGGAAGAAAGAATTCGGCATAAATACAAAGACAAATAATGAGAAGAATATTCGAAAGAAAATAAAATCTGTGAGATTTTTTAAAGATAATGAGAATTAAGAAATTGTTTATCAAACAAACAAAAGATGAAAGATATTGTAATGGAAGTACGATTTGATTATATTCTTCTTTAACATGTCGATTTTTTTCANTGCAAATCCATAATAATCATTTGTAGCGAACTTCTGCTTCCTGTGAAGAGTGATTTTCAGTCAGGAATATCGAATAATTAAAAGGAACACAAGTAGTCTTTTGGTTCTTTTGAAGACTGTGAGGCGAATGAAGATCAGTTTCCGGGGACCCCTTCAAAGGTTATACTTCTATCTTTTTTTTGCATAAAATGCATATAAGACTATTGTATTTTCAGTCAGTGGTTCAGTCGAGGGTATAGCGAGTCTGCCTCGACGAGCGTTACTAGTCTTTACCTTGATGGTATATATTAAGGATTAACACTCAACTATTTTCACGGAATATAAAGAAACATTTCACTTGAACCTATGGTCTCGTCACACTTTTAATAGTAGTGAATTAGATATTTCTCAAAAATTGTTTTGCAATATACAAGATCCTAAATGTAATCTTTGTGTTTATTCTTTTTTCATGACAAAAGAGTCGAACACAACATCAATGACAACATCAACATCGTCAACAGCTTCAAGCACAACATCAACGTCTACAACAACGTCAACGACATCAACATCGACAACAACATCAGCAACGTCGACAACAACGTCAACGACATCAACAACAACATCAGCAACGTCGACAACATCAACGTCGTCAACGACATCAACAGCGACGTCGACAACGACATCAACAGCAACATCGACAACAACAGCAACAGCAACGTCGACAACATCAACATCCACAACAACATCGATAGATAGTGGTATGTAACGCGCTAACCAATATTTTTTCTCTACACTTGAAAACACCTTATGGCATCGATGCAAAAAGATCTTCTCGAGAAAAACAGTGTTCGTTCCGTGTTACTAAACTGAAAGTCTACATCCGAAGTTTGGAAAGTGATACGAAAAGAGTTAAAATTTCGTAGACAAATCATGATAAGTTTGAAAAGCTTCTTGTCTGCGCTTTAGCTTCTCAATCCTTGTGCGGTATTTGTGGGTCCGATGAGACCTACAACATTGTTTTTTCATATTTTCTACACAAAGATCTATCATGTTTTGGTCCATCTGTCCGCTAATCATTAGTCCTCTGACGGTATACAAGTACCACTGAAAAAGTGAAGGATAGGTCCATAGGTACCTCCGAGCAACTTTTGTTATATAGATGATTTTCATCTATATTGTACCTGCCATCTATTATGTGGAGAGTTTATTTATCATAGATGCGTTAGTACAACATTGCCAATTGTGAATTTTTTTTTCAATCGTTTTCTGACGATCTTGTTATCTATATATTGAAATATGTCTAATACTGCCTCTAGTTATATGTATGCAAAATTATTCATGTTTATACATTACTACCAGACTAACTATTCGGGTTTCGATAAAAATATATCTTAAGGCTTACTATATCATATCTGCTACGGAGAACACTAAAAATGAAGCTTTTCTAACTTAATTACACGTTGGTCCTTCCGGATCCACACAACATCTTTTGTGTAAAAAAAATGAGGACACCTTACGAGGGTTAACGATGTTTCTCAAAAATGTCATCTGAAATGATGTATTCCTTTCCAATTAAAACTCTTTACAATTCCAAAAATCATAAATCCTTCGAATGAAAAGAGTATGATACCAAACAAAATTGTGATGCGTTTGTATGTATGTTTGTCGCGCATCAAAGTTTAACCACATACTTTTCTCAAAGCCGTCATATATCACTACGTATCTAAGTTCTATACGATGGATGAAGAGGATGTTGATGCGTTTTGGGTTAAAAGACATCAAGCTAAACATTGATCAATTACCTTTTGAAGATGTAAAGCCTCTGACAGCAATTTGAGACTAAATAATCGATCCCATAGAGAGGATGGTCATATAGTTCACAAATCAAATATCGAAATCATGAAAACTGTTCAGTAAGGTATCGAGAGCAATAAAACGAAACAGATACGTAGAAAACTATAGAGGTTTCGAAGTGGTTAGTTCTGTTCGACGCGCCGATGGACATCATCGACTGACTTGCTTTTCTTGGTAGCACTTCTCTCGAAGAAAGTTGTAAGACGCATCAGATCTAGGTCTAAAGTCAGAATTACTTTGTGTTTGTTCAGTAGTCATTCTCTTGTTTTTCTATCATAAAATTTACATGTTATCCTTCATTTAACTATGCGTAATACTGACCTATTACGTTGAATTACATAAAACAACAAAAAATGTTGCATAGATCACTATCGCAATGTCATGTGAGCAATGAGATTTTATAAAGATGAATATTCGCTAAACTTCATTTTTGGATCTAGGAATTTACGTCACAGAGATGGTAGTCATCGACATGAGCGATTAGATTTCGACGTAAGAAAAATGCACAATGACGTATTAATTTGATAAACAGTCATCAATCAGGTCTTGTGATTCATAGAGTCTGTTAGTGAGGCGGGTGTGAGGATGAGGCTGAGGGAAGCTGTTTTTAATTGGTTAGAATTCTCTTGTGACGGTGGTTTCCATTTAAGAGCATTCGGTAAAGTAGTGAATTTGATTGAGCATATGGTCGAAAATATATTTCTGAACATATCTGTCTGTCTTTTTCACGGGGAACATGCTTTAAGGTCATTCAATTTTCAATGAAGAATTCCGTCGAGGATCAGGCAAGTCATCCTGGACGAGTGTTATTTACTATATATGAAAACTTCCAAAAACGATGAGTATACATGATTCATTTCGACAAAGTCATATATATTGAATTAAAATTCTGAATGACACTAATCTATGAGCTCAAAGAAAACAGATAACTATATTCCGATGTGCACTTTTATTCAGCAATACTTCTCCTGTTTATCCAAATATTTTCTTCGCGAGATATTGAATTGAGAAAAATGCTTTTATATTCCGTAAATAGTTCAAGAAGACTATAGTTACTTTCGTAATCAGAAGTTTTGAAAAAAAACAATGTTCCTTGACCGTGATACTGTAGATATTCGACATACAAGGGAACCACCCGAGTTGATTAACGCGCTTAGGTTCTATCTTGTGGTGGTGGATAGCCCTCAGTAAGGTATGAAAAACGTCAAGAGGATTCGTCCCCAGGGGTCTTTTATCCAGAGTTATAGATCGTTTACTGGAAGTTTTACCTATAAATATGTATCTACTAACCAACCGAATATCAATATTTGGAGCTGCAACTCTGGCTACAAGCAAGTCTAGAGATTCGATGTGTTATAGCGTTTTCCGGAAAATCCAACTTTGCAACATGTATCAAAAAGATACGGTGGTCTATCGTTTTCATTGTCCGCATAGCCTGTATAGTCCGTATAAGGTAATTTCCCAATTTCCCAGCTGGAAATTACCTTATACGGACTATACGAAAACTTACAAAGCTCATTAGGTAGATCAGATTCATTATGTTCCTTTGAATGGTCATGGCTATAACAATAAAAATGAGTAAAAGATACTGCTTAAGAAAAAGAACAACTGAGATGAAACCCTCATCACGCTTCGCCGCACCCTCATTGGAAGTTTTGTGTATTGTGTTTAGAATACCCGCTTGGATCATGAAGAGTTGTTTTAGAATACGATTTTTGGATTTCCCGGAAATTTGTCTTAGATTGAAATAGATGCAATTTCCAGACAAACGCTATAACGCATCATTTGAGTCTATAGATAATTACAATACCATGAAAACTTCAGCTCTAAAGGACGTTATTTCCGAAAATATCAAAGATTAAAATAACGAACAATTCTAGCATCTTTCCTAAGATAAAGGTGGTTTTTCTTGAAGTTTTAATAGTTTGAGAAGGAATCGTTCTTTGGAGAGAAGATTTTCATGGTAGCCAGAGTTGCAGCTACAAATATTGATATTCGGTTGGTTAGTAGATACATAGTTATAGATAAAATTTCCAGTAAAAGATCTATAACTCTAGATAAAAGACTCATGGGGACGAATCCTCTTGATGTTTTTCATACCTTACTGAGGGCTATCCACCACCACAAGATAGAACCTAAGCGCGTTAATAAACTCGGGTGGTTTCCTCGTTAGTTCAAGTTTCAAAGACAGAAACTCAATGCACAATTTGACTCCTTCTATCTTTCACAGCTGAACACCCTCATAGCATATCTGAGCATTTATGTCTTTAAGTGAGATGTTGATACAATCTCTAAACGAATGGCGCTGTTCTCAACGCTAGTTAGTTTTTAAATATAAACAAAACTATCATTTTAATACTTTAACCTAGGCAGACATCTAACGCGTTTTACCGTTCATTTTTCCAGACATTTCCGCAATCAATAAACTTTAAGACATATGCAATTATATTTCAAAAATCAAACAATTCAGATGATACTTTCACGTTAAAGAAACATCTGTAGATGAGAAAAATGCATATACCAAAGGTACAATAGAACTAACACTTCATAAAGTTTTGTAGTACAGCGTTAGTTTCCATCAAATGTCTACACTAATCCAAATCAGATACAGCGCTCGAAAAGACTCGTTCAAGAAGCACTGATTTAAAAGACATCATGGATATTGAATTTCCTTCGACATAGTACGCTTCGTCGCTTGACTGTGAACTATTAGAAAATTTTATAATAGTGATGACTACGAAAATGCCTTTTCATTTTCGCAACACAACTCGTTAGTAACTGTTGTTTGTTTCCTCATAGTATGCGAGAATATCTATTTCAATCCACCTGCTTATCCAGCTGGATATCTACCAAGCCCAATGGCAGTCATTGATTTGAATAATGACAGCAAACCAGATATAATTACAGTAAGCTTCATGATGGAAGCTGTTAGTGTTCTTCTCAATACGGGCAATGGTCGCTTTTTCCCACCAATGAATTTTTCAACTGGATATGGCCCACAGACACTAATAGTAGTCGATATAAATAATGATAACAAGCCTGATCTAGTTCTAACTGGTTACTTTAACACTATTCTTATTGTTCTTCTGAATACAGACAATGGTACATTTTCTTCTCCAATTATTATCAAAATTGGGTCTGGTCAACGCTCAGTGGCAGTGGTGGATGTTAATAATGATAACAAGCCTGATATAGTTACGGCAAATGGGGATAGAAGTACTGTTAGTGTTCTTCTAAATACAGACAATGGTACATTTTCTCCTCCAATTATTATCAATACTGGAGGTGATTCCAACTCGATGGTTGTAGTCGATGTTAATAATGATAACAAGCGTGATATAGTTACGGCAAGTGGGAATACAGATACTGTTAGTGTTCTTCTAAATACAGACAATGGCACATTTTCTTCTCCAATTATTATCAATACTGGAGGTGATTCCTACTCGATGGTTGTAGTCGATGTTAATAGTGATAACAAGTCTGATATAGTTACGGCAAATAGGAATACAAATACCGTTAGTGTTCTTCTAAATACAGACAATGGTACATTTTCTCTTCCAATTATTGTGAAAGCTGGAGGTAATCCATTTTCAGTAGCAGCTATCGATGTTAATAATGATAACAAGCCTGATCTGGTTACGGAAAATATTGATGGAAAAACTGTTAGTATTCTTCTAAATACAGACAATGGTACATTTTCTTCTCCGATTATTGTCGCAACAGACAGTATACGAGGATCATTGACAGTTGCCGATGTTAATAATGACAACAAGCTTGATATCATTACAAAGGCCAGCTATCCAAATTCTGTTAGTATTTTTCTCAACGCAGGTAATGGTACATTTTCTTCTAAAACAAGTTTCCCAGCTCCCTCCCCATCTACTTCAATCGCGGTCATCGACGTCAACAGTGATCATAAGCCTGATATAGTTACAATAAATACCTATAAAAATACTGTTAGTGTTCTTCAAAATACAGGGAGCGGTACATTTTCCTCTCAAATAGCTGTCCAGATTGGTCGTATATCTTACGCAGTAGCAGTTGGTGACGTCGATAATAATAATAAGCCTGATATAGTTACAGCAAACCGTGAAGAAAATACTGTTACTGTCCTCTTCGTCGCAGACGATGGTTCATTTTATTCTCAAAGATCTTTTACAACCGAGACTAACCCAGTATCAGTAATGGTCGTTGATGTCAACAATGACAGTAAACCAGATATAATCACTGCAAACGGTGGGGAAAACAGCGTTAGTGTTCTTCTGAATATAGGCAATGGCACATTTTCCTCTCAGATAGCTTTTGCAACTGAGCCTGATCCTACCGAAGTAGCAGTCGCTGATGTAAATGGTGACAATAGACCTGATATTGTGACTGCACATTTTTACGGAAACAGCGTTAGCGTTCTTCTCAATAAAGGCAATGGTACATTTTCTTCTCAAGTTGCTTTTGCAGTCCAGACAAGGCCGATGGCAGTGGCAGTTGTTGATGTAAATGGCGACAATAAACCTGATATAGTTACGGCACATGTCAGTGAGAGTATTGTGTGCGTTTTTCTGAATATAGGCAATGGCACATTTTCCTCTCAGATAGCATTCGCAACTGGGTCTGCTCCTACCGCACTAGCAGTCGCTGATGTAAACGGTGACAATATACCTGATATTGTGACTGCAAATTATTATGGAAATAGTGTTAGCGTTCTTCTCAACACAGGCAATGGTACATTTTCTTCTCAAGTTGCTTTTGCTGTTCAAGAATCGCCGATGGCAGTGGTAGTTGTTGATCTAAATGGCGACAGTAAACCTGATATAGTTACGGCACATAAGGATGAAAATACTGTTTGCGTTCTTCTCGGCGCAGGTGATGGTACATTCTCTTATAGAATGTTGTTTGCAGCGAGTAATAATCCACGATCATTAGCAGTCGTTGATATCAACAATGATCATAAGCCGGATATAGTCATGGCAAGTACTGATACAAAAAGTGTTGGTGTTCTCTTTCATTGTTGACACTGCATGCCAAGGACGTACGATTCCTTTTATAGAAATAATTTAATCAACAAATTTGTAGCAGTAAAACCTTTCGTTGGAATGTCTTGTTGGAGTTAAAGAAAGACTTTGTCGAACCTTTTTTCACTTTATATTGGACGTATGACACCTATGGTTCATCATCCAATCGTTTTGCAATTTTTTGAACTATTGACTCTGAAGTGTGATGCCGATCAATAAAATGATCGATAAAGTACTGAGGTCTGATGCGT